TAGATTATCCCTCGACTCATAACTATTTCAAAGAAATTCCTGCTAGATACTCCTACTCAGCATATACTCAAGGCAGATAACATCGATCAATAACATCTCCTAGGCTAAGGCATCACAAATCAGGAAACTCTAGCCCTAAAATATGAAATGCCTAGCCTATCCTCTAGCATTCATCCCTAATATATCATGATTATCTCATAACACAAATAAGTAAGGGTATTTTGGGAAATCACCGTTCGGATTCTAGCTGATTGTACACACTGCCCCATCTCGTTTTTCTCTTAAAACTCTTACTCGTTTTAGAAAAATCATTTATTTTGAAATTTTTTCTCAAATCCTCAGTTTAAGTCCAGACATACCCGGGAGTACATCTGAATCCCTCAAACCAAGGATTTGATACCAACTTATAACACCATAAAATTTCAAACAAAATTTTCATTTTAAAAATCACATAATTCACATCAACACATTTCACAAAATTCCCAAATTTTCAAATTATTAAAAACACATATCCATAATTGTTTGAATAAAATCCAGGATCCTCAAAACATAACTCTATCTCGTGTGTACAATCAAGTCGGTGCCTTCCCGTGATCCTGAGATGTACCTGAAACACATAACACATAATACGGTAAGCACAAAGCTTAGTGAGTTACCTAAAATACCACAAACATCTCATTAGCCTCTCATGGCTATATCTCAAATAAGACCCTCTGGTCAATGTGTCTCAGTGGAAACTCACCGGTCCCACAACTCGGGTGGACCCTCCGGTCCTAATTCAGTAAAGCTCAGAATAATACACAACATAAATCATAAAGACATAATGCATGATATCACAATACTCAATATAAACATACAAGAACCCCCATCACACAAAGTTACCACTGTTGGTAAGTATAGTGAGAAGAATCACCTCGTAAGCAAGCAAATAAACCTCGTACTCGAATCAACGGTCTCGCCTCTACCTAAGACATACCATAATTATCTCTAATTAATAAACGACCCCCAAAGAAGCTAGGCTAAACCCACTACAAATTCAAAGAAGGATAAAAGATCATTTTACCCTTCCATGGCCTCTATAGTCCATAATTTGACCAAACCCTAAAAGTCAACAAAAGTTAACTGCAGCGCGTATACTGGGCGTATAGTCCCTTTACGCTGGGCGTACTACCTCGCTATGCATGCATCGGGGATCCTCGACGTTACGTTGTGCGTACCTGGGAGTACGCTCGGCGTACATCCTAAAGTTGCTTTTCCCACTCTTTTGGTCTTAATCTGTTAAGACCATAGCTATACTCTCAGATCTGGACTCCCTAAAGGCTCATATTCTATAAAGTTCGTGACTTTAAGCCTTTGCATGGCTGAGAAAGTCCCAAACCCAAAAACTCTCACTCTTTACTCCCAAAAATGCTCATAGCTCATGCATGGGGTGGTTTTGACATCCAAGATCCCATTTTTATGAGTCCAATCCATTAGAAACACTTAAAGGGACAAATATTAGGCTCTGGAGTTCAACAAATCATAAAGCTTAAAGCATTGGGACAAAAACCATAGAATGAACCATGATATGAAGAAATCAAAAAGGATGAGAAAGCTTTGAGCTTTATACCTTCAAATGATCCTCCAACCACAGAAAAGCTCAGATCCAAAGCCAGGACTCCAACTCTATTCTCTTCAATGCTCCTTCTTCACTCAAAGAACCCTCCAAGAACACTTAAAAGCTCACAAATGGTCACTCAAGCTAAAGGAACGAAAATTAGGGTTTTGAGGGTTGAAGGTAGGAAATGGTGGCCAGAAATGAGGCCATCGTGTTCCTTAAATAGGGACACACTCCCACAATTAGGGTTTTCACTCTGAGCCTAGTACGCCCAACTTACCCTCTGGTATGCCCAGCGTACTAGGTGGCTTTTGTGTCCAAATCACGCACATGAGTACACTGAGCATACACACACGTACATCCTGCATACTCAACTACCACATTTTCTCAATTAAAGGGCCAAACTTGACATCTATAATAAAAGGTTTATGAGATATACCTGATCTTGGGATGTTACACCTTTACCGCTCTCGTTTTTGTTTGTTGAGTTGTTTAGCTGGTACCTTGGTTCCTATAGTTTTTGATCATATACATCCTTACCCTAGGGATATGTTTAAGCTTCCAAATTGTTGATTGAATGGGGTTACATTTTTTTTTATAGTTTGGCTTTTTGATTTACTTCATCTTGCACATTTTCATAAGTTCTTTCGGCAAATTCATAGAAAATTCAAAATCTTCCTTTGCACTACCTTGACTGTGAGTCTTGGTAACGAAAAAAAGGAACATGTGTTCCATTAACTTCACATTCCTCAAGACAATCGTTTTGTAGTAATTAGCATAATAAATGTGATATCCTTTCTTGTTCATGTGCATTCATTTATTAAACAAGCAAACTTTCCACAAAAGATTTGGTTACTAAACATGTCTAGTTTATACAATCATAACTGGAACAAGATAATTCGATCAAAATAATCTAATTAATATCTATCCAGACAACCAACAAACATGTGTAATATATATGACAAAAAACATATGTTTCTCCAATTTTGCGTATTAACTACAACAAATTTTCTATTGCTATGATTTTATGAATCAACAACCAAGAAAGAAATCATTATTAATTTTAGACAAAATCTTTATAAATGGTTATCGTGGTTTCCCAAAATATCAAATGTAGTTCTTACCATTTTTGGTGTCATGGAAGGTCCTTGTGGTTTCAATTTCTATCATTATTGGTATGTGTCTCATATGAAATGACTTATTACCCTTTTTATTTGCTTTTTCCATTTTGTTTTTATTGCAACTATTAAAAAAGCAAGAAAATAATATTACCCCTGACCCATCTTCACCCATCCCTTTTCTCTTTTACAATGTTCATCTTCAAGAGACTACCACCACCAATCAATGCCACCACGACCGGACCTCCATTATTGAAGCACCGTCATTCGAGATAATTCATGTTCATCTTGTCTGCTTGAGTGTTTAGACTTGTTCAAAATCGAGTCAAATGGTGAGTCATGAAGCTTCTAACAATTTTCTAAATTTTTTGATGTGGCGGTACACGATGACGATAAAACTACGACAAGATACTACTGGGTTTGTTTAGCGAGGGTTTGTTGCACACCTCACAGTGGTTCCAATGGTGGTGTCGGTTTTGAAAATGGATGGTCGAATGTGGCTGAAAAATATTGAATCTATATGTATAAGAATCATTATGGAGTGATATTGTTAATAATATATGATCCTATAGGGTCGCACATTTATCAAGTTGACACATTTTGTACATTTATTATTAATATGATTATTAATAAATAATATAAATTCTTGTACTTTAATTTGGGTATAATTATTGTTTTGTGAAAATAATAATTATAAGAAAGTATAACTAGCTATTATTTCATATGGTATGAATTAATAAGTCATGAACAACCTTTTGAACTAGTTAGATTCTTTTGTGTTTTACCTAAAGACAAAGTTTATATATTATAAACTATGAGTTTATAAAAATTGAAGAATCTTTCTTTTTTTACAAGGTATGACCGAAAATGTTAAAGAAACATGGAGGTTACTTATCAATCTCCATGCTATGTCTCACATGCTTGTAAATGCTACAACTATTTTAAATTATTTTAATGTTAAGCCTTTACTTTACATAGAGTATTTAAAGGAGTGTTTTGCATTAGTTTTTTTTTTTTTTTTTTTTTTTTTTTTATTTTTATTTTATTGTCTTACTTCTTCCCTTCTTCCTCTCTAAAAATCGTAAGTATGAGAGAGCTCCATCTCTTTGAAGTTTGGTGGTGTTTAAAGCTTTTTGAGTTGTCTCATTTAGTGTTTTTTTTTTTTTTTTTTTTTGAGTTAAACACTTAAAGGTTTAAAACATTCAAGAATACAAGAAGGAACTAGCATTTCAAGTGTCTTACTCTTGATGGTGATTACATATAGAGAAAATCATGTTATTTAATTCTTTGTTATCTTCATTAACACCCTAAAACCAAGTGGGTTTAAAGGTTTCAAAAGTTGTCGTTCTAAAAACTATTTAGTTGTTTTTATTTCATTATAACATTTATAAATGGATCATAGATGGTTTGGTTTTATTATAAACTAAAAATAAACTTGTTATTTTTTAATGCTTTCATTGACCAAGGAAGAAAAACGAACGGGTGGTGTGTCATTTATTTATAATTTCTTTTAAAAAAATAATTTTATTTAGAGATAAACATAATTGAAATTAAAAATAATATAAAATCTTTTTAATATAGAAGAGTAACCAACTACAATAAACATTAAAACCATATGGACCACTAGGGGTGCAAAGAATTATACAAGCTCGGGTTCGTTTAAGTTATATAAGGCTCGAGCTCGAGCTCGGCTCGATTCGAGCTTCCTTGTGTTGAGCTCGGTTCGAGTTCGTAAAGAATTATACAAGCTCAGTTCGGGCTCAGGCTCGACTCGTTTTTTATATGACGTATCTAAATAAGCTTAAGCTCGGTTCGAGCTCGTTAAGAAACTCGTTTACTAATACCCTAAATCCATAATTCCCCTAATATGTTTTTATTTTAATATATATATATAAATAATATTAAATTATATTATATAAATGCTCGTTTAGACTCGCGAGCCTAATCAAGCTTAATGACATAGGCTTGAACTCGAGTTCGTTTAATAAACGAGCTTAATATTAAGCTCGAGCTCGGCTCGGGCTCGTTTAAAATCGATTTCGAGTCGAGCTTTTAACGATCCGATCTCGAGTAGCTCACGAGTAGCTTGGCTCGTTTGCACCCCTATGGACCACGTGAGAATAAACAAATTAAAACTAAACTTGATATTAAAAAAAAAAAAAAAAAAAAAAAGATGTGTTTTAATTTTATATTTTTATCGCTATGAAGTATGAACTAAACCACGACCAAAGTACATTTTAAATAAAACCATTCAGAAAATTCGAGTAGGAAAATTATTACTTACTCCAAAAGAAAAATGGAATACACATTCAAACTATTTTCATACAAGTATCCCCTCTTTCTCCTCTCCTCTCTTCAATGTTGAAATTGTTCTTCTTTTCATCTTCGATTGAATTTTCTCAACGTATGCACGGACACATTTTCCGTCTTCTTCCTCAACAATCTCAGGTTTCTCTCTTTTGCATTTCTCTAATTTCTTAACATTTCTGTAGAATACGTATGCGCAATGTCGTAATTTGATTTGGGACAAAATCCCGCCAATTCAACGACTCAAACCTCCTTATTCATTCCCCAATATTCTCGAATCATGCAAGTTATTTTACCTTTATTTTGATCATTTTCCCAAATTTATGTTTTCATCGGATTATGATTTCTAATATATTGATATTGCTCTAATTCATGTTTTCGTATGAATATTGCGATGTCATACTTATCGATACCATTACAAATGCTTACGATTTCTGTTGGCAAGAATATCTCATTGTTGTACTTCAATTTTGCTTCTGTACACATTCATTAACAAACCCGACCTAACTGAGCAATCGATTTCTATTTATGAAGATTGGATTCTTATTTTAACAGGCAGGATACTGCCGATATCAATGGAGACTCAATCTAGAACTGCAACTTCTAAGGTTAGAACACCGTCTCCTACACATTACTTTTTATCACACTGAAACATTTCAATTTAGTAGTGAGAAAGCTAAATAATCTAGTTTCCAACTAGATCTAATGGTGTTTGTTCTTATGAATCTAAAATCCAACTGTCTTCACATACTATTATTCTGGATGCAGTTTTTCTTCCTTCTTCCTCGGAATTTATTGTTAGCTTATCAAAGCTTTGGCGTTGTATATGGAGACTTGAGCACTTCACCTCTTTACGTCTACAGAAGCGTCTTTGCTGTGTCTCTAAAACACCATCAAAATCCAGAAGTTATTTTTGGTGCATTTTCCTTAATCTTTTGGGCCTTAACATTAATCCCGCTTCTAAAATACACATGTATCGTATTAAGTGCAGATGATAGTGGCGAAGGTGTGCAAAACAGTCTCTCCTCACATTCTTAAATTACAACAGCTGGATTATCTTATGATTCTTATCTAATTTAAGAAATGTTTAATTTGATACATTTCAGGTGGCACATTTGCTCTTTACTCACTAATCTGCAGGCATGCAAGGTTTAATTTATTGCCTAATCAACAAGCAGCTGATGAAGATTTGTCTTCTTACAAATACGGCTGTACAGGACAACCTCCATCTTCTTCCTCACTCAAACTTTTTCTGGAAAAACATAAAAAATCACGCACAGCTTTAATCTTAGTGGTACTATTAGGAGCTTCAATGGTTATTGGTGATGGTGTTATTACTCCTGCAATCTCTGGTAAATTTTATTTTAATATATATATAATTGTTAACTGTAACAGGTTTGATGTTTATGGTACGTTTTTTATTACAGTTTTATCAGCTGTATCAGCACTTCAAGTTAAAGGTGAAGGAGTAACGTTAACTCATGGTAACTAATGATCGAGGTTCAAGTTTTCTCTTTATTTCATTCTTGAAATTATGGATATTGGAATAGATAAGAGTTTTTTTGTATGATTATAATTTTTTTTCTTGTTGTTTTGATAGGGCAAGTAATAGCATTGGCATGTCTTATATTGGTGGGGTTGTTTGCTCTACAACATTTTGGTACTCATAGGGTGGCTATTGTGTTTGCACCGGTTATTATTTTATGGTTGTTTTCTATATTTTCTATTGGGGTTTATAATGTCATACATTGGAATCCAAAGATTGTGCGTGCATTTTCTCCTCATTATATTATCAAGTTCTTTAGTCAAACCCGTAAAGAGGGCTGGATTTCACTTGGGGGAGTTCTTCTTTCCATAACAGGTATATCACTCTCACAACTTTAACTTAATTTTGCTTTCATATTTTATTATTTAGTCTTTGCTATGAGGGAATCAGGGTTGAACTTTAATTTAAATCAACTGGAATTCAATGTACTAACTATTAACATATTTTTGTTCAGGAACCGAAGCTATGTTCGCAGATCTTGGCCATTTTACTGCATCCTCCATTAGAGTAAGTCCTACACAATATAAAACTGATATATGTTTTTTTTTTTAACGATAACCAATTTAATATTAATCATCTATATATGTATTATGTGCAGCTTGCATTTGGACTTGTTGTATACCCTTGTTTGGTTGTACAATACATGGGTCAGGCTGCTTATTTGTCAAAAAATATTTCTTCAATTCCCGATAGTTTCTACAAATCTATACCCGGTGATTAGTTCTTTTACTTCAATTGATTTGTTTATTATATATCATCATACTTTCATTTCTTCACATCACAACATTATAACAATGTCATTCAAATACAGAGAGGATATTTTGGCCTGTTTTTGCAATTGCTAACTTAGCATCCATTGTTGGGAGTCAAGCTATCATCACAGCCACCTTCTCCATTGTCAAACAATGCCATGCCCTTGGGTTTTTCCCCAGGGTTAAAATCGTCCACACTTCAAAACACATGTTTGGTCAAATCTATATCCCAGAAATCAACTGGATCCTCATGATTCTTACTCTTTTAATCACCATTGGATTCCAGGACACAACTCTCGTTGGAAATGCATATGGCAAGTTGAACATTTTGTAAGAAATTAAATTGAAATGAAATGAATCCTAAACTAATATTGACTTGGTTATGTTATTGATTTCAGGGCTTGCATGCATGACAGTGATGTTCATCACAACCTTTCTCATGGCACTGGTTATAACATTCGTATGGCAAAAACACGTCATATTCGGAATCTCATTTCTTGTGTTCTTCTGGTTCATCGAAGGGGTTTACTTATCAGCTGCAATCATGAAACTTCCTCAAGGGGGTTGGGTTTCTGTTTTGCTTGCTTTTATCTTCATGTTCATCATGTTCGTTTGGTTTTATGGGAATAGAAGAAAATATAAACATGATATCCACAATAAAATCCAACTGAAATGGCTTTTGAATTTGGGACCGAGTTTAGGGATCGTTCGTGTACCTGGAATCGGCCTGGTTTACTCCGAACTCGCCACCGGAATCCCGTCGATTTTCTCCCATTTTGTAACGAATCTACCGGCGTTTCACAACGTGGTGGTGTTCATATGCGTGAAATACGTTCCGATCCCGTTTGTGTTACCGATGGAGCGTTACCTCATCGGCCGTGTTTGCCCTAGGCCGTACCGTATGTACCGATGCATCGTCAGATACGGTTATAAAGACATCCAGAAAGACGATCGGAACTTCGAGAATCAATTGATCCAAAGCGTGGCGGAGTTTATACAAATGGAAGCGGCTGAACCTCCGTCGCCGCCGACCTCCGATACCGGATCGTTTGACGGCAGAATGGCGGTCATCAGCACCAGATCGAACTCCGGTTTAATCATCTCCGAATCGGATCCAGGTGAATCGATTATCAGACCTTCAACGCTTAGGATATTAAAATCTTCATACGACGCTGAAAATCCACAGATGAGTAGAAGACGAGTGAGGTTTCAGCTGCCGCCGTCGAGTCCGGCGATGGATCCGGCGGTGAGGGATGAACTTCTGCAATTGGTGGAGGCGAAAGAAGCTGGGGTTGCGTATATAACGGGATTCTCTTACATTAAGGCTAGAAAAGCTTCTTCGATCATGAAAAAGTTTGTGATCGATGTTGCGTATTCGTTCTTGCGTAAGAATTGCAGGCGGCCGGCGGTTACGTTACATATCCCTCATATTAGCCTCATTGAAGTTGGCATGATATATTATGTTTAGACTTACAGATTTATTCCTTTATTTTATTTTATGGTCTTATAACAACTAAAATGGCCACAAAATGTAAAAGTAAAACGAAAAGTAGAAAAATACATGACATGTAATTAATATTAGCTCTAACTGAATTATTTTTAAACATAGATATGGATATATATTTCTAATTCCTATAAAAAAAAACTTTGAAAATCTCTATTGTTGAAGAAGATGCTGATATAAGTGATGACAGTAAAAATAATGATTCTTAATCGATAAAGTCACTTACTTCATGATGTTGATGTAGATATGAAGAATTTTAATATGGATAATGTATCAAAATGATAGAAGACAATCAAAAGGGAAATGAAAGTTGAACATCTAAGGCTAAACGAAATGGGAGTATCATTCCTACTTACGCATGAGTTTGAGGGGAACACCACTTCTGCCTTTGTGAGTTTGTGAGCATCCCTGAATGCCGCTACTTTTCTTCACAAATGAAAACCATTCTCCATTGCTAGTAACTTGAAGGTAGAATGATGTGGCACATTCTTACTCCATAAACACATATGATGCATTTTGTATAGCCTAAGATATGGATGATGGTGGGATGGTGTATGTAACATCCAAAATACGATCCAAAAAATTTTGTTTAATCATTACTAAAATCATTAGATCAAATTTTAAGTGCAATGATTCTTCTCTCAAGTCATTCCCTTTGTTGGTGGTGTTGTGTGAAGCATTTGAGGCATTATACTTGGGGTGCTAGGCTCTTAAAGGCATAAGGAATCAAACTATAAGAAAAGGTATGTCATTCTACTAGATTTTTGTATTACATATAGTTCATGGTATGCTAGTTAGGATGAAACCTTGGAAAAATGAAAGTTTGCATGTATAATAGAGAAAACATAGATACAAGGTTTCTAGGGTGCATGCACACCTTAGGAGTGTTAGAATGCTTAAAACCTTGTAGGGTCAACTCAAGCCCAAGTCAAAGTCAAGGTCAAAACCTTGTTCAAAGTCAACTTTAGTCAAAGTCAGCATCTGGTTGACTAGACTCGCCGAGTTGGTCCACCAACTTGTCGAGTCCCCACGTACACAAAATGATACAACCCCGTCCATACTCGTCGAGTCTAGTAAGAGCTTGACGATTTCACCTTCAATAACATCGGGACCTTCTTCAACTGACTCACCGAGTTTATCCTTGAACTCATTGAGTTCATCTTCATCCGTATGAAAGTGTTTAGTCTATGACTTGCCGAGTTCTCCTTGAACTCGTCGAGTCCGTCTTCATGTGGTTGGGACATTACCTTGAACTCGTCGAGTCCTTCGATCTTCAAGTCCATAACAAACCTAACAGGCTGAGTTTTCCTTCAACTCAACCAAAGACCATTTCCCGAAGACGTTTGGGGGAAACTGCGATCCGAATCGCTGAGTCCTTCTTTTTCCAAAACTATACAGTCAATTTTAATCGGTCTTAATGCATCCAAACCGTAGATCTGACCTCTTAGGGTCCATATTATACGTAAAGCTTCAAACTTGACGTTCATGCATGGGGTATTTGGCTAAAAAGGCCTTAAAATGGGGTTTATATGATGCATGGAACTCCCATGGCCATAAAGTTAGCACCTTTATGTCATAGGAACCCTCAATGGTTCTAGATCAAAAGCTAACACTCCACAATATGATCTAAACCCAAAGGTGGCTTAGAAATGTCTCAAAAATGGCAAGATCCATGTCTTAAAGAAGATCTATCAAATGATAAGTCAATGTTCAAGCTTTTTACCTTAAATAAGCTGGAAATGGAGCAAAATCTATGGATCCACTGGCTTCTTCAAGAACCCCCAAGCTCCCACTTCTTCCTTCAAGCTTCAAACAACTCTAAATTCTCAAAAATGGCTCAAGAACACTCAACAAGCTCTAAGGTTTCGAGATAAGGCTTTCTGGAAGTGAGAGGGACGATGGAGGCTGGCTTGGGATGAGATAAGTTGTTTAAATAAGGTGCAAACCCTAAATATTAGGGTTTAATTCAGACAGCTCCTACTCGTCAATTTAGTCTCCCGACTCGTTGAGTAGGTCCCTAAACCTCCTGGTCAACATCGAGTCTACTCGACGAGTTGGGCCTCCAACTCGTCGAGTCCCTGAGCAAAACATGAAATTAATTGGATTTAAATACATACCAAGAACCGGGTGTTACATTTTCGATTAGGAGAAAATCGATGTCGTGACTACCTAAACGGAATATTGTTGTTGCTTGAGTTCGAAAAGAGAATAAGCCAAGTAAACCCTAGTTCTCTTAACCGGGACTGATGACGGGAAGAATGATTAAAGTGTCGTATTGCTTCCATTTTTAGTTAAGTGGATAGTATGTGGAAGCTAACCTGGCCTACGTAAATTGTAACTTTAGCAACTAATTGAGCACAAAAAATATTTGAGTGACTAAATGTGTAAATTCTCCAAACTTGATTGTGCTACATTGCCAAAAACTCTATTTGTTACTCACAATTTATCTGTTATTGATTTCAAAACAAATAATCTTGATAATGATGCACAAACTATAAAGTGAATCAACTTCTAAGGTGATTGTTTAGTCTTTTTATTTCCATTTTAAATTTGACAAATCTTCAGTGAAATGTTAATATTTTGGAAAAAAAACAAATAAAGTTTTAATTTTCTTTTTGAACAGAAAAGTCTCGACTATTTAACTTTTTGTATAGAAAAGCCTAAAATCTGGCTTATTTTCACTTTAGCCCTTTTTAGCTCGCCCAGCAGTTAACGAGATCAAATCGTTAATTTTTTCAAAATAATGAGACTTTTCTGCAAAGTTTTTCAAACTTTGTATGTAATGTATAAACATATTTTTTACGTATTTTATGTATTTTTATATATATATATATATATATATATATATATATATATATATATATATATATATATATATTTTAAGTTTATATATGTATATGTTTACGTATTTTTATGTATTATATATATATACGTATTTTTATGTATTTTTAAGTATTGTTCATATTTTTATGTGTTATTTTTTTGATGTATTATATATTTATATGTATTTCTATGTATTTTAAATGTATAAACGGATTTTTTTATGTATTTATATGTATTTTTAAATATTTTACATATTTTTAAGTGTTTTTTATGTGTTACGTATTTATATGTATTTTTACGTATTTATGTATTTTTTAAAAGTTTTTTATGTAGAACATAAAAAATATGTTTTCACATTTAAAATACATAAAAATATGTTTTCACATAAAAAATACATAAAAACAAATAAACATCTATATAACCTTTTTTTTAAATACATAAATACATAAAATGCATATAAATATGTAATATATAAAAAATAACAAAAAAATATGTAAAATACTTAAAAATACATATAAATAAATAAATATATATATATATATATATATATATATATATATAATATGCTTATACATTTAAAAATACATATAAATACGTAAACATATACGTATAAAAACATAAAAAATATATATATAAATACGTAAAAATATATATATAAATACGTAAAAATACATTTATACGTTACATAAAAAATTTAACGAAATCTATAGAAAAGTCTTATTATTTTGGAAAAATTTATGATTTTGTCTCATGACCTATTGAACATGTTAAATAATGCTAAAGTGAATAAATTAATCGGTTTTTTAGGCTTTTCTATTTAAAAAGTTAAATATTCGTGACTTTTCTATTAAAAAAAATTAAAACTTTATTAAAAGAATTTCAAAATATTAATAATTTTCTGAAAATTTATCTTTAAACTAACCTAAGTTAAATGATGTTGCCGCTTGAAAACCCGAGCTACAAATGTTTATGACCGAGAATACGCAAACATCATTGTTATTATATTAACTTTTAAAAAACGTTTTTTTTCAAGATATAGTAAATTAATATGTGGTCATTTTAGGAATATTTTTATATGTACGGTGTTAACTACGAATGCTTTATGAAATAAACTTCGACTTCCAATAGTTTTCTCACCCTAACAAACATTAACGATTTCTGTTAAATATTATAAAGCGTTGTCGTTAAAAGTGACCATTTTTTTTACCTTCTTTCACACGACACTTATTGAGTTTTAAATAGTATTCGTTATGTTGGTATTACCATTTTGTGAAACTTATATAAGGTGACCCACTTCACAATCTTTTTCAAAAAGAGGAAATTAATATTATCCTAAGAGAATATTGGCAGGTCTTTTTGTTTTTTTATCCATAGTACCATCACTACCCACAAGACTTGAAGTTTTTATACTTAATTTTCTTACTACAAAACAAACTTCTTATAAGGTTAAATTATACAAATAAAATAATATTTCAAGTTGATTTCTTTATTCCTATCCATTTTAAGCAATATTTTCTTATTTTTCAAAATGATAAAATATTAGATATATTCTATATTACATAAAGTGACAAAGGTACAATGTTAAAACAGATGAAAATAAATATATATTACTATGTGAATAAAAGTGCATTACCTAAAATGAGAGTTTGCCAAAACTAAATTGTTATTTAGTGCACATAACCCTTATTCCATTAACAACACCATTAACAACAAAACTTTACAGTTTGTAATAAAGAGAGATTTCTCATTTACAAACTATTCCAGTGAGACTTTTTATAAATCTTACTAACCATACATTTACACCTTTTAGGAAAAATACGTTCTTTCGCATTTTTACATGTACTTATCAAAATGACAAAGTATAAAATGATTCCAAATCTTTTTGGATCATAATGTTAGTGAGGTCTTGTCATTAACCAATCTACATGTGACCAAATGTACAACATAAATACTAATGAGCATCTTGATTTTTTGGAAAAACACCAATTCACAAACTAACAAATTTGTCTAAAAGGCTAAAGAAATTAACAAGTAGGTAAAATTGTCATTATAGAGTACGTAATTTGAGTTGTTATTAGAAAAACCCCTGTTCAATTCAAATATATATAACAATAACCCAAATCTTATATAGAACATTAAGTTTATGGAAAAAAATGAAGAAACAAACAAACTAGAATAGGGACTATCATTAGTCTTATCATAGAGTTGTCTCCTAGAAAATCATTTCAATGTTATTATATATGTTCAAATAATTA